ACAGAAGCGCGAGGGACAAAAGCGCGACGGAACAAAAACGCGAATCACAAAAGGCCGAGGAACAAAAACGCGACTGAAATAAAGCGCGATTGGAAAAGAATGCGGGGTTATTATCGGTAAGTTTGGTAATGTCTGATTGAAATTGCAAACTAACCCAAACTTACCGACAATAACCCGGTTAGTTAGGGTTACCTTGCAATTTTAATCAGACATTACCAAACCTACCGATAATAACCCGGTTAGTTTGGGCTAGTTCGCAATTTTAATCAGACATTACCAAACTTACCGATCGCTCTTGTCCAATCGCGCTTTATTTCAGTCACGTTTTCGTTCCTCGCGCTTTTGTTCAGCGCCTTTTTGTTTCGTCGCACTTTTGTCCCTAGCGCTTTTGCTTCTCGCGCTCTTATCTAGTCGCGTTTTTATTGCGTCGCGCTTTTGTCCCTCGCATTTTTGTTCCGTCGCGCTCTTGTTTCTCGCGCTTTTATCCAGTCGCGTTTTTATCCATCGCGCTTCTGTCGAGTCGCGTTTTTGTCTCTCGCGATTTTCGTAACGCGTTTTTTCCCTCGCGCAAATGGTTGTCGCGAAAATGACACAGAGCCTAAAAAACTATGGTCTTCCGATAATTTGTTTCTATTTTGATCAACAAAATAGGTAGAGATTCTCTACTAGAGAAACACTAAAAGTTACCTTTGTTTGTCATTACGAATCGAAGAGAAGCGTCCAAGTATTTCATCAGCCTGACATAACTACCTGAACCCTAAAGCCAAAAATGCAGGTCACGTCACGTTCAAACAAACTTGAATAAATAGATGTCTTACCAGAGGCAGTGGTCCCGATTATGAGGGCTACGGCCAATGTCTAGAATTGTAACACATAGAAGGTGCAGAAATTCATCTGGATGTTGTTTCTCATGTATAAAATACGTATTTTTGACTCAACATATACAGTTTTAGTTTATTAAAAATTATAGGAAAATATTGCTAAAACATACGTTCAAAAAATCCTAGCAATTTTTGATTTACGTTTTTTTTTTTTTGAAGACTTGTTACCATTCCTACTTACTTACACAAGGTGTTTCACGAACATCGAAACAGAGGCGTTCGGACACGTCAATATTGTATTCAAGGGGGAAACTTTTTGACCCCATCGATATTTTGTTAGGGTGCCCCCCAGGGTGGAGTGACTTTCATCCCTCTTTTTTAGATAGGAAAGGTGGGTCGAGTGATACCTTGTGTTAAAGGTTTTTTGATTGTCATCACAACTGTGTACTTTTTTGGCAATCGAATGCTTAGTTCTCAAGATATTAACACGTTCACTACCGAGCGTTAAAGGGCTGTCATCTGTTATGGACCAAGTATAATATCTTTGAAAGTATTATGAATATTTGAACGATTTTTAGACAGATAGGATCAGTTGGTGTTACTAAATAAAATTCCGCCATTTTGTTTTGAGGCCATTAAATTGGCCACTGGTCTGTGAGTGGTGCTTGACATTAGAATAGACCAACGGCCATTTTAATGGCCTTGAACATAATATAGGAAAATACATCTGATTCAATGATATATATTACAGAAAAGTATCAGTCTCAGTAACCCATATTTTACTTATCGGTATGTGAGTTTGGGCACCTAATTTAGCAGGAATGACGTCAGTACCAGCTGATTTATTGTTCTATAGTTGTCTGATTGCCTTTTCAACCTCCTCTAATCTAGGAACCTTGTTTTATTGGTTTCTGTGGAATTCCGTTGAAGATATCATCAGTAATTTGTGATTCTCTGTTGAGTAGTTCCTGAAAGTGTTCCTTTCAACGAGAATTATTAAAGGAACTGTCTTTAAGCGGTCTTGTGCCATCTTTGGATCGTACGGGATTGAATCATTTACCTTGGAGTGGTTGGTCCGATGAAAGTATAAAAGGAAACGCACTATAATACACCTGGCATGTATCACAAAATACAGCAACGCTAAAGAACCAGAGGCCACTATAGTGGCTCTGCGCGGACAAAAAACATTAGGAATGGACCAAAGTACCTAATAATCGTACCATTCACGATCCGCTTCAAAATTTTAGTGAATAAACGAGTAGGAATATATGGCCAGATTAGTGGCCGCGGTTCACAACAGGAAACCTTAATAGTAGTAGGCGGTAGTGAACGTGTTAACTGTTACGGGCTGATTTTTCCTGGGCCAAAATCAAAGGAACTAAGCGGCGAATCACTCTCACTGAATAGCATACTTTCGTCAAGCCATTGTTTGCTTTGCAATAGTTGTGGCCACACTTTTTGTCAAACTTTTCATTCTTCCCAGAATCATCGAGTTAGAGGTTGAATAATGGAATTGATTTCCTTTTAGTAGGGTTAAAATAAATAGTAAATTAATTTATTAGTAAACAAAATCACAATATTTACATTAGAACAACTGATTCTCTGATTCGATTAGATTGATTAGATTGGCAGCGCTCCAAATAAGTTCAATGACCGGTACCAACTTAATTTAAATTAGCCCCATGCCCAACTACCATGAAAATTCCCCAGAACCTTTCACCTTGGAGTTTTGACACAACCTTTTTAAAGGACATTGAAAGGACAAGCAGAGGTCAGTCAGGTCGAGGACATTCCACGATCAAGTGTTCGGGAAAATTGAGCTTTTTGTCGATTTCTGAGTTTTCCAGTTTTCGCTCATAGATCTAGGGTGTCTAATCCGTTATTTTAGCACCAAAGCGCCTTGCGCGGATTTCTTTGTGAGCCGAAAAAGAGCAACGTGCTCAATTGTTTGCCTATGTATAAGCATTGTTTTCTGTTTTTTTTTATGGTTAAATTCCGAATATTGGACATACCTACCTATCGCTCTACGCCCAGTCTCATAACGTCCATTTGCTTCAGGCCTTTAATCATCACGCTTTAGTCCTTAACTTTGAGTAAAGGGTTAAACGTTAAGCTTACTGTATATTTCAAGTCGTACCTCCTGTTTTCAGCCTCCGCTAGACAATTGGAAGCTTTAGTGACTTCTAGTTACTGAACTCCAGTACCCAGGGCCAGTTTCTTCTTGTCGCGGCCCTGATCCAGTCCCACGCCATCGGAAACACTGGAAGGTATCAATCCAATCCTTCAGGTTCGTCTCAAGGGATTAGGGACTACTCAGGTTTGATAAGTGTGTTGTATTGTCTTAATATCTGGAACCTATCAAACCTTACCAACCCCTTGTTGGAATAAATCACCACAGCGACGCAGTCTTCTACTACAATATTAAATTTGCCCTTGAGGTTATGTATTGTTACTTCAATTTTAGTTAATTATCTATATTATACCTATATTATATTAAATTTGCCCTTCAAGTTACATATTGTTACTTCAATTTTAATTGATTATCTATATTACCCATACTATCCCATAAATACATGCTGCACTGAATACAGAAAAATATACTTGTACACTGGGGTTAAATGGCCATTTACGAAGGTACTGCATTTAGTAAGCTTGTCTATTAATTTACATTTCAGGTATTATTGCTGTTATTACACAATACTCTTTGCTTCATTTAGGGTCTCAAGTTGAGTTAAATTATTGTGAATACTATTTTTAGAACGTAAGGTTAGGTACTCGTAGTCGATTTATTTTGTCCTTGTTCTGGTTTCAGTGTTAATAATTTTCAGTGTTCCTTTAGGGTAGGGCGTTCGGAAAACCCACTCCGAACCTGCTCTAGAGTCAAATCTGTTCTGTAGCAAAGCGTTTCACTTCTGCCCTTCCTTCTTGTTTACTTTTATATTTCAGGTTGTGTTGCTATAGGTCCATAGAAGTTTCCTGCTTTCGTTATATCAGTTGATTTCGTGTACTGCAGAGAAAAGCAGGTGGCGCTCTATATTTATTTATTTAATTAATCCACACCCCTCTCCGCATTGGAAGCTAGTCGGCAACGCTTCACACGAAGTCCCGTTTCTAGATTTCAGCCACCGACCAACCCTCTTTTTTTTTTTTTTTTTTTATTTACCAACTCACTGTCTCACTTCCTCAAATTCTACTATTTTGTTTTTAATCGCGTCTCCAAAGATCTCAACAGAAGGTCGTTGGAACACTTCAGGTACTGAGCAGAGGCCAAATGGCATTATCTTATAACGATATCTGCTAAATTTTTCCACATTAAATGTTGTTAAAAGCTGATTATGGTTATCCAGCCTAATTTGGCAGAGTCCTTTATTCGCATCAAGGGTTGTAAATATTTTAGGTCTTCCCATCTTAGATACCACTTCAAACGTTGGTAAATCATATCTGGGCTAAATAGGAAACAACCTTCTGGCCCTGTATTTCTCAAATTAACACTTTCCTGACATTCCTTTCGGACAAGTCAATTTTAATTTTTTCAGAAGTATACAAAAAAAAATTGACATGTCCGAGAGTCAGGAATGTGTTAATTTGAGAATAACAGGGCCAGAAGCTTGTTTCCCATTTAACCCATGGCAAATTTGACAGTGAATATCTTGAAAAATAATCATTCAATTTTTTAAAAAAGTACACGGTTGTGACGAGAACCAAAATACCTTTAAAACAAGGTACCACACCTCCCATCTTCCCTATCTAAAAAAGAGGTGTAAAAGTCACCCCACCCTAGTGAACTACCGATGGAGTTAAAAAGTTTCCCCCTTGAATACAAGAATGACGCGTCAGGGCGTTTTTTTTTTAATCGACCCTAAAATACCCAAAAACGCCTCTGTTTTGACGTTCGTGAAGCACCCTGTATACCATTAATATATAATTAAGTACATCGATTCTCAGCATCATCAATAGTTTTTATAGGACAATAAAATTGTAATTAATGATAACAAATTACAAAAGCAATTATCCCCTTATGAAAGCGGTGAAGCCATACAATATTTTATTAGTCATTTAATAAATATTGATCGTTATATTATGACTCATATTACCTGTACGTTTAGGCTTTATTTTTGTAACAATAAAACTCAAAACTAGAGTTGATTATAGAGAGCCAAGACATTTTTGGTACCCTACCTGAAGTTCCTGTTCCACTAGATGTCAAAAACCTGGCGGTCTGTTCGAAATTGACTGAAACCACATGACTCTGTGCATACTGGTCCAATTTTTTCTGAACATAATCCTCAAACGTTTCCAAACTTCTGGCACTATCACAACTACTCTCACTTTCAGCCAACGAAGTGTTCTGAAGTTTTTCCACGTCAACTCCCGGAATAATACTAAAACTTTCAGTTTTCAAAACTCGGTCCACGTAGTTTTTTAATTCTCTGTCCAGAGCACTCTCGTCTTTAACATGGTTATTGCAAGTTTGCGCGATTTTAACACATAGAGAGATCAAGATTAATTCCACTATAACTTTATTGGTGTCTCTATACGGTTTCGGCATATTGATTGTTTTGTTGGCTGATAAAGGGTCATTCCGGAAAGAGAACCTGGAAAAAAATAAAAGAAGATTAATATACCTATTTCGATTTCTCTGAAATTGGGGTCAAAAGGATTTGACACGTGCTCCCATAGGTATTAACAAATCCAATTTATCTCCATGAAAGCCCAATCGATAGTACCATCAATAAAGATTTTTTTTAAAATTATATTCCACATCATTTTTCAGAATTTAGTCCTTGCCAGAATTATAAACGTGATGCGACAAAGGAAAATAATATAGACACCCCCGGTTGGCCGTTGGGGGTGTAGTGTATGAAATAAATTACCTTTTCTTCTTAAGCATACCTATTGGAAATATTTCAACAAAAGAATATTAAGAAAAAACTTAACGACAGAGGCTGGTATGGAAACAGATTTAATGGCTTCTTGGCCTCAATGTACTTATTTATTTAGAATAAATAATTTCTTGGAAAAAATTAATCGAGAAGCGTTTTTAATTTTACACATATTGTACCCATATTGAAAAGAGCACAATGGCTTAGAAAAAGATAAAGAAAAATAAGCAAGGAAACCAAAAAGAAAAACAATATATATTGTAAAATGAAATACAAACATCAAAAGCTTGAAACATATTTATAAATAGAAAATAAGTTCAACAACAAATAATTTGTCTTTAATTCCGTTTGATTCGATAACATAATACCACTAGACCAAGCAACTCATTCATAAAAGAGGTAAGTACTCTTTGTGGTGTCGACAACATGTTGATTGGCAAGACGCTGTGCGAGTTACCGGTGGGTTATGGATAAACTATGGTTATGGCAAACGCATAAGGCATCATATATTTGACAGTTTATTGTTATTTTTTGTCTGTCAATCGAAAATCTGAGGGCAACCTGAAAACGTTCTCGCTTCTGTTATAAACTAATTGCAACTAACCTCACAGCCTGAACAAAAGTTATCCAGATGGAGGGGCTTGTGATGTTTTGTCCAAGAGGTAGAATATTGACGGGAAGATGAAATTCACGGTTATCTAGACGTCATTTGGACGTGATAATATAGACGAATCAGGTGGATGTGATGACGCTGCCAGTGGCCTGGTATGTCTAATGCTACCTAGGTACTATTCATTGTTATTGTCGAATGTCGTTTGCACTTCTGATATTATTTTTTAAATGTCCTATACAACTTGGTTTATACACAGAAAATTCAGAAGATTGAATTAAGCACTGTAACATATAAGACATCAAGAGCCACACGTTGTTTAGACAACTACCAATAATAGTCAAACAGTCCGATTAAGTTTTATCAGGCAGCCATACGATCAGTAGTATGTGTAACGTGCCAAAATTGCCTTTTAACTATTTCACACTTATTTTCAGTTTTCCATTCAAAATTCCTTTATACCTATATCTAATTTTTCCCTGATTTTATTAGACTTTGTTTACATTTTTCCTTTATAAAAATTCAACAATAATTCCAGTAATTGCAGATCCTGAAAATTTTCTAATCTTTATTATTTAAATTCTATTTTCACTTGTGACTAGTTCTTGTTACGACTAATAATTTTCCTCGGTTTCAATCAATATTTTAATTCCATTTTCCAATAATAAATCTTCATGTAAACAAATCAAATATTTCTTATTCTTGGGTTAGGTTTTCCAAATAGTGGTCCGTTCACGAAGTGCACGCTGCAGTCTGCACGTACTCTGTTCGGTTGCTGAACTCAGTACCAAATTTAGTTCTGCATCGGGTTCCATCATTGGTTCCATAAACCACGGGATTGCTCTCTTTGCTCTCTATTCTATAGTGACACTTGTGATGTCACTCATGATTTGTGTGCCAGCTGACGGCAGAAATGTCGTTCATTTTTCTCAATTGGCGTTCCAATTAGTAATGTTTTTGAGATAATCGATTCCTTAGTAAGCGTTTAAGTTTTGCAACACGGAATTGCTTATTCAATGTCGTAGTCTTCAAATTATGATTGTTCTAGTAGTTAATTACTTGTTGTTGTTATCATTAGCCGTCAGCTGTTATAATTTTTCTCTGATTATATTGTTGTGTGCAATTTTTGGTACTTAAAAATCTTCCTGATTTATTTTTGACATTTGTCGTTACTTTGCCTCATCTCTATTCTTCAAATCTAGGACAGCTAATTAATTCCCTGTCGTGGTTCCGAGAAAAAAGGTATTTCTGAAGAAATTAAATTTTGTCTTCGCCTTTGAGAGATTTTGACCTTAATATTCTCAATTATTGAATTTATGTTACATTGAGTTGCCTTACGTTGCGTTACGTTTTCGTAAAGTGCCATAATTTCGCCGATGATTTCGGATTTTTACAACCATCCATTCGGTAAGTTTTGCTTGGCACGTTTTTCCCCAGAGTGAATTCTGACCTTCTCTATTTAATCATTATAGACCGTCAGATAGTGACAATTTTAGGTGCCCCATTTTCGCATACAAGCCTCGAAGAGGGTTGAAAAGTACATCGATTTTGAGTAGGATTAAAGTAATTTCAAGAGTGGCTCCTGGGGATAACATATGGAAAATTCGATTTTACTTATGTTACCCTAAAATGTACTTTTCCATTCGCGACTCTCAAGACAATATGCTTTCTTGCTACCAACTTTGTAGATTTTGATCCTTCCAATGGACTTGTTTGGAAAAATCACCCAAAATCTCGATTTTTCCTTACAAGATTAGGCCCTCATTTCGAAACTTTAGCCACCTGCAACACCCTCTTCTTTGTTTTCACGAAGCCAGGTTTTATTATTTAATCCTCTGGTGAACACGGCTTGCGAAAAAATATGGGCACCGTCTTTCATTTCTGTTATGGAAAATCGAATCTTCCATACGTTATCCCCAGGAGCCACCCGTGAAAATACCTTCATCCTACTCAAAATCGATTTACTTTCCAACCCTCTTCGAGGCTTGTATGCGAAAATGGGGCACCTAAATATGTCACTATCTGACGGTCTATTAGTGAAAAGCTGCCCTACGGAGTCAAGACCATCTAACTCACTCCAGGATTTCGAATCCAGAATTCGATCCAGACTTATCCAGAGTATTTTCGAGGCAAATAAAACTCATTCCAACAGGTGAGACATAACCTAATAACGACAGATTTTCTTTGCAAACTTGAACCACATTTTCTTTTCTTTCAAATCTATCTAAATCTGATTTTTATACACAAATTATTTAAATAGAGCTATAGTTTTACCTACTGAATTAACTATCGATGGTTGACTAAGCTACATTAAAGTTACATTAATTTTCTTGTGGTTCATTTCAAAGTGCCTAGCCTTCGCTAAGGTTAAGTTACAAATACAGAGTGTTATAACAGTTTTTCTTTAGGGTTTTTACTTACGGCCATAAATTCAAGTATACGGCCAGCCCTTTTTAACTAAAGGCTACACATTTAAACGGCAACCTCCATCGGAGCCTACACAGTTCTAAGGCTACTACCTCTACCAGAACCTACACCTTTTATTTGGACGGTTATACCTTTGTTTTGATACTGTTGAACCTTACGACTGATTTGACCATACCAGCTACAACCTGTAACCAGGACCAACCAGGTCAATTGAACCTGCTGCCATCACTTGGAACATATTGGTATCGTACTAGTTTTAGTTCAAGTATTCTTTGTTGTCACTTTATATTACTAAATTTAATTTTATACATTTTGCCCCTATTTTGTGCGCCAAAGTGATCACCGCGTTATGTAAGGGTGTAATTTGGTAGGTAGTTGTACCAAGTGACAAATAAAACAACTATTAGGTACCTATATTTATTTTAGCTAGGCGTAACCTGTTTCATGTGGATGATTAATTTTATCTATTTAGCTTTGGTCACATCATTGTATTAAGGTTTGTGAATGGTAACTGTTCCAATATTCATTTTATTCTTTTTATATCTGTATTTTGTCTTCAGCTTTCCGTTTACTCATTTGAGTTACCATAACATTTTCTATTTTGAATTTTCAAATTTAAATTCAATTTGGGCTATTAATTGTGAACCACAATAATTGCTTTAAGAACATATTTTCTTAAATTTTCTTTTTATTGAACGAACTCTATAGCTCTTGATTTATTTGAGTTTTATTTGGTTTTATGCACTCAGCCTAATACTTATTAGTATTATTTTTTTCAATTTTAATAATTCGATCAAGTTGTAAGGACCTGGAGCTAGATAAAATCCTGGAGAGTCCGCCTCATCTGTCCTGAGTTGGTGGCGCCCAAAACATAACCCACCCCCCACTCTCCGAATTGTTTAATTCTGAGCGAGGGCTTAATTTGTACGTACTTTGACCTTAAGTCCTGCAATCTTGATTATTTTTTTTCTTTTATTTTCACTTTAAATTTTTCAACACAGAAAAAGCGTGGCAAGTACTACTTAGTGTAAGATGTTCTATCCCCTTTCATGGTAAAATCGAGAATCCAATTTTCGAGGAAACTATATCATCAATCTAAATTCTGACGTTTTCCCATCGGAAACATTTTACTTTTCTTCATCAGAAAATGGAAAAGCTCTTGGCTCACTTTGACCTTACAGAAATGACAGGTTTTTTTTTGAGATGTTTCCTTTACCCCTGATATAAAAAATATAAAATCTTTCATGCTATCTACGACACTGAAAATCTGTAGTCTATTAAGACTTCTACGGCCAGTGATTATAGTAGCAGTTCCAGTTTAGAGTTTTTTTTTTTTGCATATTGTTCCGCTCACAAAAAAAACAACTCTATACTACCCAAGCGGTACCATGAGCGGAAGAAATTAACGGACGATTAACCCTCCGTTTGAACACGTTAGGGTTAAATCGTTCAGTAAATGAAATAGGACGCAAGGATTTCCGTTGATTACGCCCTATATTTGGAGATCCTTGGGTTAGCCAACTTTGTCTGAGAATGAATGAATAACAACAAGTATTATCGACAGGAAATGTGTTTTTCTGTTTTGTATTAAAATGTTTTTGTGGTTTCCGTTATTGAGATAAGAGGATT